CCTCCTCCTCCCCCGCCCCTCCCACACACCCTGCCTCCCATTCCCTCCCCTCCATCAATGGCTAAAGGAAAACTTTCTTCTACTCATAACACTTCTGATACTGTTGTAATGTACCCCTCAAATCACACAAGGACGCCTCAAGAAGTCAAATTAAGGAGTCACATTTATTTCAAATCCGGGACTACGAGGGGGCATTTTGCTCTCAAATCTCATAGTGCTTATATGGCCGCAATACCAGATTTATATAGGCAAAAATCACAAAGGTATTGATTACATCACGGGGTTAGGAATGAGGAATTTAGTTTGCACAAAGCAGTTACAGAAGTGGAATTGAGCAAGTTAGTTAAATTATAGTTGTGGGTCTCCGGATCACTGAATCAACAGAAACACGTTATCTGGAGCCATCGAGGCAATTTAGAATAATTGTGCTGTCCTGGTCTTGGGACCACTGAGTCAACCGGAACGCATTATCTGTGGCCACTGAGGCAATTTAGGATAATTGTGCTGTCCTGGTTCCCAGATACAGAAGAATGTGCTTTCTAAAACCAATGAGATCACAATCAATGGGATAGCATACATAAGTTCAGAAAATCAAAGTAACTTTTCTATTGTTAAACAAAGCACATAAGTACAGAAGCCAAACAGCAGGGTTAAAGTTAGACTACAGTTTCTACCTGAGATGATTGCTACCATACTTCAATAACATACCCTTGAAATGTCTGGGTAACTTGTAACTTCCCTTTTTCTGGACCCCTTGGGGCACACCTAATGTGCTGGACACCAGGACAGAGACCACAAATTCCTTCATTGTCATGTTAATTGTTCCTGCACCCACCTAAGCATGTGTCTATCATTTTACTTTTGATTCAATCCCAGAGGTTTCCCCACTTTGCTTTCTCCTGCCTCTTTAGTCTATCACCAATGGATTTCATGTAACCCACCTACGTCCCTTTCCTTTGATTGCAAATGTATAAATACAGATGTAACCCGCCAACCTCCTGAGCATTATCTCAATTCGTTGAGGTTCTGCTTCCCGGCATATGTCGACAGTTTGTCTCAAATAAACTCACAAAAATTCTTTACAGTTTTCAATGGTTTTTTTTACATTAACATTTTTCAGGAGGTTTTTTTTGTTTGATTTGTCTTTACAGAGGTCACAGAAAGCATTCATCCTCAAAAAGAGATTAAGTGACGCAATTTAAGTGGTTAACAAAGAGTCAAATAGATATTAGCAGTCCCAACATCACAGCTAGCATTCACTGAGCATTTTAGTTGCATTTTCTCAGTTAATCCCATAAAAAATCCAATGAGGTAGGAGCTATTATTTCCCCCTTTTTAATGACAAAGAACTCATCCTCTCAAGGTCACGCTTACTCACCCTCGCTGGCTACCTGCTGTGTGAGGTGTGCGTGCCTGCCGCAGAGCAGACAGTTCCGGAGCCACAGCAGACGGCCCGCGGACCACCGGCGATGGCATGACTGTCCTGTGTGCCTGCTAGACACCCGGGATACGGACATGACAAAGCCACAGCTCCTGCCTGCGATGAAACCAGGGCTGGTAGGTCCACCGTGTGAAAGGCACACAGGCAGATCGGGCTCTGGACCAGGACCAACCCAGGTGTAAGGAGAAGGTCCTGTTCCTGCTGGGGCAGGTAGGGGCTCAGGTCAGGCTGTTCAGATACAGCCAGAAAGTCCAGATGAGAAGCAGCTGGGTCTGGACGCCGGATGCAGACACTCCTGACTGGGGGCTTCCCCCAGTTCTCCGATGAGGAGGGCTTGCTAAGTAAGAGCCCAAGCACCCCGTGGTTATTCTTGAGTGGCTCCATTCCATCATCTCTTCCCACTGCTGATTTGATAAGAATTTCATCAGTTGTTTATGAAGCCAGGCAGTCATTCGATAAATATTTACTGAGTGCCTACTCTGTGCCTTGGGATCTAGAACAGAGGTGGACGCGGAGGCAACATTCCTGCTCTCCTGGAGCTCACCTTCCAGCTGGGGCACCACGAACAAGTCACTAAATGAATACATGGGGTGAGTTCCCTGTGCGGTGATTGCTGTGACAGAAACAGGCAGGACTGTCCACGGAGAGGAAGGCCTCTTAGAAAGAGTGGTCAAGGAGGCACCTCCAAGAGTGACATCTGAGTGGAGATCTGGATGGGCATGAGGTGGCCACCTCCATACTGAGGGAATAGGCAGTGCAAAGACAGACCCTGAGGGGAGGTGCTTCAAACGGGGGGCTGCAGACCTGAAACTGGACAACCAAGGGATCCCAGCTGCCTGTCGCTACTTGAGCCAGACAGCAGAGACAGGGTTGAGTCATATATGAGCGTTTATTCCAATCCTGCTGGCAGCGTGGGAGAGCAGCAGGTCACCCACAAACGTTGGCTCTGCACCCGCTCCCCCCCACCCCCATAAGCCAGCTGCTTATATTGGGTATATTGGGCAGGATAAAGATTACATGGGGAAGTAGGCAAAAGGAGTGAGAATGGATATGCAAAATAGGTATTACAGTGAGGAAATAGGCAATGGGTTGGGTGGGGGGGACTCCATTGTTTGGGCAACAAGGTTGTTAATCTTTCCATGATAATAGGCAGTTCTTCAAGGAGAATGGGAGGCATTCCAAGGTAGACTCCCAGGTCCAAGGCTGACTCCCAGGTCCAAGGTAGACTCCCAGGTCCAAGGCTGACTCCCAGGTCCAAGGTAGACTCTCAGGTCCAAGGTTGACTCCCAGATCCTGGTGGGTGTACAACTCCCAGCCAGGTTAGAATGTGCTTTCTTTAATCAGAACAAAACAATCCTGGATAACAGAGCATGTTAATATTTTTTATAATTATAGCCAGGCCCCAATATTCGATTTCTGCCCCCAAAGAGCGACTTGTCCTGCTCCGATGCAGGAGACCAAGCCCAGGTGCTGTTTTGTGATGCAGCCATAGGAGGGCTGTTGTGATTTTGTCCACCAGCACTAAGTGGTACAGCAATAAACAACAAGTAATATTTTTTTATGTTCTTGCAAACAAATTATTCAAACTATGAAACTGACAAAGGGCATGTTAGAAAAATAGAATCTAGAGCCAGAAGAGGAGTCAGATTGTCTAACTCTAACCCAACTCCTCCTTTTAGATGAAAAAACTGAGGCCCCAAAAGGTGAGGCGAAAGCCTCATGGCCACATGGCTCGACAGTGGCAGAGTGGGCTTGGGACTCCAACTTTGAAATCACGGACATGTTTTTGCCTTCACAGGTTTAGGAGGAACTATTCGTCACTGGCAGCACTCACACTATTTGGATGGAGTATTTGTTTTGAAAATGATACATCTGATTTTCCTCCTCTGAAATTTCTCCCACGTAGCATTCCATCTAGCTTGACGCTTTTCCAAACTTGGTTGTTAAAAAGGAAACCAACCTGGTGTAAGGGTTGCTCACAACCCCTTGACCTGAATGTGAAAGCCATGGGTATGACATCCGGGCCCCCGGAGTAAATAGCTTGTTCTCATACCCAAGTTCTGACCGAGGAACCTGGGACCCTCGGCTGCTTAGAGGGAGCTGAGTTTGAGACAGGAAGTGGAGACTTTGGCTCACACACCTGTGGCCCACCCTTGCTCACATGACTGGCCCCAGCTGCTGGGTGACATGACTTCACCTTGTAGAACAACAGCCTCCAGGGCCAGAGCAGAATCACCAGTTGACAAACTCCTGCATGGCACAGGGGCAGCATTCATGCCAACTAAGGTGGGATCTTGAGGCCAAAAGATTAGGACTCACTCTGAGGACATAAGACAAAGCTCACAATTATAAAGGATATAGGTCAGGTGGTATGACCACCCCGGAACATCAGAAAGAGGAGGCAGCCCTGAATGGAAAGGACTTTGCTGGGGGGAGAGAAGGACATGGTACTTACATGGGGTGAGCAGAGTCAGTAAGGACAAGACATTTATGAAAGCATTGGCCCCCAAGCCTGATGACTTAAAGGTCCCCAAATGGTTTGGATGAGTTCAAATTCGCGCACGGAATACCGTCCGAGAGACGCTGGGACTAGTGTCCTAAAGTTTGGGCCCTGTTCCTTATCCCTGGCACCTTGCTGCGCTTTGGTGCGGACAGTGAAGCAAACAGAAAAGGGAAACTGTAGAAAAGGCAGCACTTCCTCTCGGAGGCCAGAGACCCAGATCCAATGGTACTCCGGGAAGGCGCCCGGGGCTGCGCGCGTGTGCGTGCGTGTGCGCGCGCGGGGTCGCTCCTTTCCCAGAGGACGACTTAGGCAAGTTGCTTACTTTTTTTGGGCCCGGGTTTCTCGCGTGTCAAACAAAACAACCTCCCACTTGGGATCATTTCCCAATCCTTCCAGACAGGCGGGCGGAGCTTCGGGAAGACTGACAGACCAAGCCCGCAGGTTGCTGGGCGACCAGGGGCCCGCCCCTCCTCCCCCGTCTCCGATTGGCTCCTCTCGGTAGGGGCGTGGTCTACCAGCGGTGGGCGTGGCCCAGACAGGGTTAATACAGGGCCGCTGGAGGGCGCGGGCCGGGACTGTCGCCGG